GGAAGGGAGGTGACCCATGGGCCAAGGTAGCCATCCCTTACTGCACAGACCCCAGCGTCCCTGCCCATGGAACCTTCTGGGCCTGGCCTGGTCACGGCCCCTCGCTCAGCCAGAGTAGTCAGCTATCCCAGACCCTTATTCTGCAGCACACTGGAGAGTCTCCAACACACAGTGAACAAAGGAAATCAATATTGATGGTGCCAATTTAATAGCAGCAGAACAGTGGCTTAAGGGACAGCCTCACAATCAGATGATCAGGAGGTCAAAATAGTCTCCTCATCTCTCAACACGAGGTGACTGGGACTTGTATTTGAAGCTACCTAAAAGTGGGATTTGAGAGCCAGAATGACAGGAGGATTTTTCCTAAATTAGAGAAAGTTTGAAGAATTTCTAACATTTAAAATGGGTTGGTTGGGTTAACATTAATATTTAATGTGACTTAACTAACAAAATCTTCAGGTAACTTGAGACAGTTAAAAATAGCATTGAAGTCAACAGAAACAATGGACAAATGAAGTGTCTCATCCTAACCAGAAAGATGTCTACACTTTGCTAAGTCCATGCTTGACATGGCGGCTCCATGGAATCTCTCTTTCTTGGGCAGAGAAAAACAAGCTTTGTTTTGAGAACTCAGTCTCTGCAGAATTCACATTTTTAAGCAAGGTAATACACACTCTTCTTCCCAAAAGCTTATTATGTTGTTTAAAATGCATAACGTATGAATATTAAATCACAAGAACTATAGCAAATAATACCACCCAATTGTCATGTAGATTTTCTCCCAAGGAACAGAACTAAAAATATACACAAATACACTCAAACTACCCAGGCTACATAGAGTTCTTTTGGAATTTTTTAAAAACTTATATTTAACCCATATGCTTCTCATGTGATTTTCCTTTTTATGGAAATGCAAGCTCTGTTTTAGGCATTTGGAAGAAACTGAGTATATGATGATGATAAGGGAAGGGAAGCAGTATTTAATAGTTCCATTCTGAATCATGCTTGAAAGTTACTTAGAATGGCTTACGAATGAAACTCTTCCAAAATGAGCCCCATTAGAACAGAGAGAAAGTAAGCAGGACTGAATTAAAGTATACAGTAACCAAGTTTTTCATATACTTTGAAAGAATGCATTGACTTTTAGTATCAATGAATATTGCCAAACAACCAAATAATAAAATATCCTTTTTAACTTACAGGGTCAATGAGCTAATACTTGCCCTTGTAGTCCTTAGCTAAAAGCGAAACACGAGCTAGCGGATGGCATTCCAACCAGAAAGAAAAGAAAGTTAGAACTAGATAGAGTGTTGTCCATTGCTTGGGGCAGGGGGAGGGAAAGGGAAGAAAATTAAGGTAGGAGAACCTTTATCTGTCTTTTCGGGATGGAAACGGATGGCCAAAAATAGTCATTTCAAGAGAGGGGGACCCAGGGATGGGAGACTGAGGCTGGGGAGAAACGGGGTCAGGCAGGTGCCCTTCAACCTCCAGTGCCCTTGGCTCCCAGGAATCAGCCTTGGTGTGTCACTGCCATTTGGATGAACCAGCTCACCTTGCCTCCTCTCCCCAGGACACTGAGGTCGGTCCAGGACAGCTCAGGCCAGTCCTTCCATCCCCTGCTTGGCCTCCAGCTCCCAGAACAGACTGAAAATGTGGGAGGCTGAGAGTGACTTTAGGGAACAAACAGGGAGGTACGGTCTCCTGTTCCTCTAGTTACTCATGACTGGCTGAATGGATGACCTTCACACCCTGTGACTCAGCCGCCTCGGGAGATACTGGAAAGATCAGGTGTGGCAAAGGTCATGGAAATTCCCACTGAATGGTGTGCTACCTAGAGCCCGCTTGTTGATAAAGGTGTGTGCCTGCCGGGCTCAGTAACAAAGACGGAAAGTGCACAGAAGGGCGGGGGCGAGAGGGTGGCCGCTCAGCCAACACCCCTGCCCTCCCTGGTTCCAAAGTAGCACTGGAGCTGTGACTTGAAGGGCAGGAGGAAGGGGCACTCTGAGAAAGGGGACAGCGTGGGGACAAGGTGGCTCACGCTAGCAGAAGCACATGACAGAACAGAAGAGGCAAGTGAGAGGTGTCTGTAGTCAAAGGGGCGGGCTTTGGCCAAAACTTAGGTTGGGGGGGTTGGGGGAGCGAAGGCCAAGGGGTGGCAGGTGGGGGGGTGGGGGTGCGGAAGGGGCGGCAGGCGGGCTGGGGGTAGGCGCGGCAGGCTGCCCAAGGCCTTGCTGTCTCAAGTTACTGATTTCTTCAGTTGTCCATTCCCTGACCTCAATCTCTACTTGTTTTGCCGGTTTTCCCAAGTCTCCGGGGCTCAATAGACCCTCAATAAAGATATGATAGAAAAACAAATATGTAGTTGCTGTTCATTAATAACCACCGTGGACCCTGTAAATAAACAACTGTTTCCAGCTCCGGAAGCGGCCAAAGCAAGAAAGTGATTTCAGGAGCCAAAAGCAAGTCCCCAGCCACTATAGACACATTAGTTGTAAGAAGTGATTCTTCCACATGAACTAATTTTCAGGACACAGTGAGAATTCTCCAAACTCCAGGTGAAAGGATTTGTAACCAAGGGCACCACCATTATGTCATCAGGGTTGTAATTTAAGATGTAAATTAAGAAATGGTTTTATAAGACATAACCAAATATATGTTTTTCCCGTATTGGTCTTTGCTAATAAGTCTCACCGTTCTTGAAGGGTTATAACATTGCTAGAATAACCTTAACGTTGGAGTATTATTTTCAAAAGTTACACTTGTAGAATTGTTTGAAGAACCATCATTCTCTTCAAAGGGATGCTGAGAGCAAAGGAGATACTCGTCCTTACTGAGGAAGTGCCCAATCATGTCATTTTCCCAGAAACCACTTGATTTGGTTGTGTGTGTGTGTGTGTGTGTGCGCGTGTGTGTTTTAAATACCCACAAATAAAAATCTAAAACCTAATAAAAAAGGCCACCTCTTTCAAGTCCCCAAGAGCAACAGTGGCTTTCAGGAGATCAAATAGGATTAGACTCCTTCTGATCTTTCACCCAAGCTCCATCCTCTTTTACACATTTTATAGAACATAAATAATGACGATCTTAAAAAAAAAAAAAAAAGCAATAATGAGAAAGAGCTATTTTGACCAGACACCAGAAGGCCTGTTCATGTAGAAGTAATTATGGAGAGAAGAGCACGGCCTCAAAAATCAGTCTGGCTGCCACTTGTCCTGGGGCGAGAATGAATTTGGCCCTCTAACTGGCTCCCACAGGCAGACTCTCCACGGACAGTTTGCATGGCGAAGCACCAGACGAAGAGAGAAAGCAGTGTGAACTTCCTGCAAATTAGCACCATTTAGTTGATGACACACTTTTTTTTTTCTTTTTTTAGTGCTGGAGAAATAAATGGTAATGAAAACCAGACTAGGGCACCGAGATCTGGCTTTTGGCTTCAGGACACTAAGGAAAAAAAAATACCTCTTTAAATTTGGCCAGCTCTTTTCTTCCAACAGCTGCTGACGATTTTCACACAGTGGCAAACATCACCTTCCTGGCGTCACTAATGGAAAAACTGGTCTGCCCCTGGCCGTGGTACCAGGACACCGTCACTGCCACACTCAGCTCGGGTCTCTCCATGCCCCCCCCGCCAGCCCCCAAAACTCGTGTTCTGTATGTCTCTATGACCAACAGGAAGAAAATTAACCACTAAAAAAAGAAATGGAATTATACAAAGGAAGAAGAGAACCAAACTTTTAGTTATGGAAATTCCTTAAAATCTTAAATGTGGAGGTCTTTGGAAGGAAAAACATCAGTGCTTTGAAAAATATCCCCCAACGTATCTCCTCCTTTCAGTCTGACTGAGAACTGATGTTACAGAATTTACACATCAGTGAATTTGTATAGTTGCAGCAAAACCACAAAGCTTGGAAGACAGATGAAAGTACATTGTTCTACCAAATAAACCAGGAGCCATCAGCAACATGAGGCAGGAGGGTCTCTGTGTTTAGGGCAGGATCTAGCTACCTCAGGGTTATAAAATAATTCAAACAGCAGCTGCTAGCACTACTTGCTGTCTAAATAAAGAGGCAGGAATGAAAAAGAAAAGGCATCCCAGGATAAAGGAGGTCCACAAATGGGCTTTTTTCTTTTTTCTTTTTGAGGGTGGGAGGATTCTGTGAAACCCCTTAAATAGCATATATCCATATATTCATTTTTCTGGAGAGAGTATCTACAGCTGTCAGAAGATTCTCAAAGAGATCCCCGACCCCCCTCCCCCATGTGGTAAACAGTACCCAGAGCCTTCACCATCAGCGGCAGATTTCCTTCTAACTACATCATCAAACAGATGGTGTTTTACCCTTGTGAAAAAAAAAAAAAGTTATTATAATTGGTGGGCTATTCATGCTCAAGCAGTGCTGCAGCGATAAATCTCTATAATGATTTTAAATTGTAAAATGATCCTCTTGGTTCCATAAATATATTATATGCAGCGGTTGTAAAAGGGGCTTCTCATATAAAGCATCAAAGGAAAGCTTTAGTGCGTCATTAATTTGGTATAGAACCAACAAGCTACTCTGAATAAATATTAATTAATTAAGGATTAACTAAACAGTGTTGTTTGTCCCCCTGACAACTATAAAAGCTTTCTCAGGGGAGATGTGAGGTAGAGGCTGCTTTAGAGACAAAAACAAAACCCAGAGATCTGAGGGAATGCCTCAATGACAGGCGATCCCGAGATCGATGTGGACGTTGCCTCCAGGCAGTCAGTGCTGGGCGCGGGGCACGTGGAAGCGAAGAGACAGCCCCCCAGGTGGGGACAGGGGGCAAAACCCACAGCCTCAACGTGGGGACTGAATCAAAACCCACCCTGCCGAAAGGCCTATCAGGAGACCAGGTTCGAGTGGCATACTCCCCATGTTAGCGTCCTTCCCCAAATGGTCTGTGCCCCTTGCCTCCAGACACTGTACCAGGAACAGGCCTCTCTGCTCAGAAGCAAGAGAGAGCAGAACATCACTTACCAGACGCAGGTGGCTGGTCACTGGAGGCGCTTCCAGACCCAGGGCCCCCCCTCATGGAGCCGGGAAGCCTTCGGTCAGCCCCATCGGCGGGCTGGCCGGCCCCGGCGGCGGCATCTTCGGGCGCAAGGCCCATGCCATAGGCACACTGGGGCAAGGGTCCGCTTTGCCGCGAAGCCGTGAGGGGTTCCCGGGCCTCCCCAGGCCGGTTCCCACAGTTTGCACAGCCCTCTGCCAAGCTGCCACTGGCTGCCCAGTGGGGGCAATGGCCACCCTCCACTTCTTTTTGCAAGTCCTTTTCGGAAGCCGTGGGAATCCAATCAGTCCTGCACGGGGGCTCAGCGAAGTGGCAGCTTTCAGAATCGGCCAGGCTCTCTGTCCCAGTGAAGCACTGGCTTAAACTGTCATTCTCCCCCACCTCCAGGGGCTCAGGGAAAGGGGGTGTGGACTTGCTCCCAGGCTGAGTGAGGAACAGCAAAGAGTCTGGGGTCTGGGAGGGCCTGTCCACATACTCGTCTTCCATGGGACTATGCCGGAAGGGGTCCTCCTCGAGCTCGCTGACCAAGGGGAGCATCCTGGCACTGGGCCCGCCGCCTGCACACGCACCCTCGCAGACACCACCACCGTCTGGACAGCACATATCTTCAGAGAACATCTTCTCTTCCAGAGTCAGCAGTAGGACACCTTCACAAATTTCACGCTGACTAGAGGCTTCCATGTGAGTGTTGCTAAAATTGTTGCCCGAGGACTCCTGCTGATGTAAATTCAGAAGGCAGAAGTATTAATACCCAGAGTTATTATAACATGTTTCTGCTGAACATGGCTGAAAATGGCTCAGAATAATTATTTCCGCCATAACAAGGACATAACAAACACTCATTATGGCACTTTATTTGTGTTATTTACGATTACAGAGGAGGGGAGAACCCTAAAATGGAATATGGGAACCACAGAGTCAAACTGCATTTCAAACGAATAGCATGTTTACACTAAAGCAAAGCGAAGCGCTAACTCAAGTAACTTTAGAACACAGTACTTTGTCCGTATACATTCAATCTAAATAAAAAAAAAAACTGTAAACAAATAAGGAATCTAGTTAGTAGCTTTGTTTTCTCTGTAGTACAGTTTAATAATTCTGAAAGCACTTTCTGTGTATTCTGGCATTGAGCAAACGAGTAAACATATTGAGAATAATAGGAGTCAGGCTTCGTCCTGTTGGAGAAGAAAAGATTCAAGTCCAGGGTGGGGAAAGACCCAATGAATCCTGTGGTGTTGGGACTGGAACTGGAAGAATCAGGATGAGCTCACGGTTTAAAATGTATATTCTTTATACCACAGACAATAGATCTAAGGGACATAATGGGATAATCAAAGACATTTTTAATATCACATGTGGATCAGATAATAGTTTGTACCACGATTACATTTCTTGATTTTGATAAATGTACTATGGTTATATAAGAGAATGTGCTTGTTCTCAGGAAAATCACACTGAAGTATTTAAGGGTACAGGAGCGTGATGTCAGCCAATCACTCTAAAATGGTCCACGAATAAACACACACATAATGCACACTTACAGAGAGCAAATGCTAATGCAGTGTGATAAAGTGTAAGCAGTTGGTGGGTCTGAGTTTAGCGTGCGTGGGAGTTTTTTGTTTTGTTTTGTTTTTTTGGTACTATTCTCACTGCTTTTCTATAATTTTGATTATATCAAAATGAAAAGTTACCAAAATAACTAAAGAGTAGAGGGAAATGGCAGGTCCTTCCTCCTTGGAACCTGTCCTAGGCAATCAAGATGAGCTCTAGAACAACAACATAAATAATGTATGCTCACAGAGACGAGGAGGGGAAGGAAATGCAAAGAAAAGAGCATTTACGATGGGCACCCACTTGGGCTTTGGGTTATTCTGTGGGGATCAATCCTGGGAATCGAGGTTCCACCCCTCAAGGAAGGACCCCATTCACAGTGGGTGAACTAATAACAGCCACATCAGCCTAAACCATTAAAAGGATGTTAAGGGGGCACTTAAGACTTAAATTTACCTTATTTCCACTTAGGCGGCCGCAAGCCTCATTGACCCAGTGCCACAAATTAGCTAGAAAAACAAAGTAAGGATAAGAACTTCAAATTATTTCATCTAATTCAGTATTATCAATCACTACGTCAGCTCAATATTTCTTTAAACACAGTCCTCTGCAAGTCTTTCAGTGAGCGTTCCTGAGAGTGAAAACATTTAAAAGAAAAATCAACCGATTCAAAGACTCCTCCTCCCCCAAACAGAACTTTCTGATCTCTGGAAAGCAAAGTATCCTCTGGCTAATGTTCCATTGAACTCCTCTGGGCATACTCAGAGCTGCTGTTAGGACTGGAAACGTTCTCATTCCCTTTGCCACTTTCCCTTGACTCCAAGGGATGGGGCGAGGCACTGCAGGGGAATGACGAAGACAGGTCCAGGGCATTGCCCTTCCAGCAGACTAGCTCACACGGATGTACAATAAAGGAAAAGTGCAGGTGGTCAGACCCCACTGAGTTCCAGGGGGCCTCAAATCCTTTTCCACTATACCCGGTTGCTTCTCAGGAGGAAGAGTTATGTTCCGTGGTATAAACAAAGCACATCTCCCATTAACTTTTAAAAACAGAAGTGATGGGATTCCCGGGCAGCTTAATCAGTTAAGCGTCTGCTTTGGGCTCAGGTCATGATCTCAGGGTCCTAGGATGGAGTCCCGCATTAGGCTGCCTGCTCAGCGGGGAGTGTGCTTTTTCCTTTCACTCTCCCTCTGTGCGCTCTCTCTCTCTCAAATAAATAAATAAAATCTTTTTAAAAAAAAAAGTCAGATCTACGAACTGAAAAAAACCTATGAATTTATGTTCTACAAAGGTACAATTTTACCCCACTTCCACTGATTCTTTGATGCTAAATTCACTATAAACACTGAAGCAGGAGGCTGTCCATTGTCCAGGAGATGATCAGGTCATGATAACAGCTAATGATCCCTATCACCTGAACTTGCCCGGTTCATTTCACTTCCCTGAGTCTCAGTTTCTCCATCACGAAATGGGAGAAATAGCAGGGCCTGCCTCCTGGTGCCGTTGTGATTTTGCGAGTACGTGTAAAACGCGTAAGCGGGGCTGGCCCAGAATGAATGTTCAATATATGTCAGGTATTGCTAACATCTTCATAATTATTCTTGCTTCCTTTCTATAGTTTTGAAATTACATAAAAATACAGTTACCCCAAATTAAAGGAAACTTGTAGCTCTTTCCTTGTAGGGATCAGTACTAGATAATCACAAATGGTACTAAAAAATGACATTTGTACACGAGGAGATATTCATCTCTCTCCTGGATGCCTGCAAAAGCCCTCCTAACTGGTGTGTCTGCACCCAGTCTTACTGTACCCGCGAATTTGTTTTCTATCCTACAACCAGAGGGCTAGTTTTACTTCTCTTTGCTAAGGACCAGGAGCAAGCCTGCAGGGCTGCATCATCTGGCCCTGCCTTCCCTTTCCAGTGTTTCTCCTTGCCAGCTCTGACTTTCTGCACCAGCTGCATGAACCTTAGCCAATTCCAGAGGGCTTTCAGGGCTCAGCTCCTGGTCTCTGGGAGGCCCTTGCTGGCCCCAGGGTCAGACCACCCCTGTCGTCTGCTCACCTGGAGCTCTGCAACTTCCCTTTCAGCACTCGGCCTCACTGTGGGGGCCTCACCCTGCCCTGCCCGCTTCCCCAACAAGGGCACTCGCTTCCCCAACAAGGGCACTCGCTGTGTGCCGCTCAGTAAGGAGCCCCCAGGGCCAGTCCTGCCCCCGGGGCTGGGGGGTGAGGAGGGAGGGTCCCATGAACGGATGAAGAGAGGGCTAACAGTTCTACATCCTGATTCAGTAACTGGTAGGCCCATTGTCCTTCTCACTGATAAGATATGGCAGGAAGAGATTATTGCAGAGACAAAAAAAAAAAAAAAATCAGAAATCTGTTTATCTCACATAAATGTGACTCCACGAGTGATCCTCATCATCTGAACATGCATTATTCAAAACCCTCGTTACCAGGTTGCTAGGGAAGTGGAGCGGCATCAAATAAAAATACTCAATAATGAGTAGACTCTTAAAAAAAGTCGTTTAATACTGTCCTCTGCTTAACATGGGCATCTCCAAACACCATCTTCCCTCTTTAAAACTTTTGATGGCCCAGCGTTAGACAACATGACGTTAGTGGAAAGAGCAAGATAGGTGGGGTTTCAAGAAGTTCACGCACGTGATGTGGGAGCACTGATCAAATCACAGCAAAGCAGAGGTGGACGTGAGAAACCCGAGTAACCCAAAATGGAAAAAAGGATAGTAAGACAACAGTGCTCCCAGAGAAGGTGGTCTGACCATGAAAGCATGAAGAAATCTCTCAAGGAATCCTTTCTTAAAAATGACACTCTTGGGGCACCTGGGTGGCTCAGTCGTTAAGCGTCTGCCTTCGGCTCAGGTCATGATCCCAGGGTCCTGGGATCGAGTCCCGCATCGGGCTCCCTGCTCCTCAGGAAGCCTGCTTCTCCCTCTCCCTCTGCCCCTGCCCCCCTGCTCATGAGCACACGCTCTCTCTCTCTCAAATAAATAAATAAAATATTTTGAAAAAATGACACTCTATTAGCCTTGTGTAAACGTCAAATATGCCGTAATGTTAAAAAGGCACTATCAAATAACTGTTTGTGAAGAAATGATTTCCAAGGAAAAAGGTAACCCCGGATGATTCGTTATAAGAATGAGCACTTAAGGGACGCCTGGGAGGCTCAGTTGGTTGAGCATCTGCCTTCGGCTCGGGTCATGGTCCCGGGGTCCTGGGATTGGGCCCTGCGTCGGGCTCCGTGCTCGGCGGGGAGCCTGCTTCTCCCTCTCCCTTTGCCTGCCTTCCTGCCTACTTGTAATCTCTCTCTCTCTCTCTCTCTCTCTCTCTGTGTCAAATAAATAAATAAATAATCTTTAAAAAAAAAAAAGAATGAGCACTTAAATTTTACTGAAAACAAGAAAACTTATTTTCACAATTTTATACTCATATTTTAAGGTAAGACCCCAATCAAAACTTCCCGTCTGGCATTTACCTGAACACTTGTCTCTATTTTAAGTGGGTGGATCAAACATGTTGGTATTCTTGGATGAAGGCAACCTGCTCATACCTAATGATGCATGATCTACCTGCCACGAACACACAGCTTACAGGTCATCAGCTTCCTGAACCTGGCGTATTTTGTTTGCTTACACATCCACAGGCACCATGGGTTTTTGTTTATTTGTTTGGCCAGAGAACAATGAATCAGGTATAAAGGGTATTTCTCCCTAGTTTAACTGCAACCAGTGTCAAGGCACTCACTCGAGGCTGATCACCAGAGACAGTCATGGGCAGTATATGCATCTTCCAAAGCGTACACCTAGAAATGCATCTCCTTTCTTTAAGCATAATTTTCAAAAACCAGCGTAGACACAGTACCTGTTAGCGCCTTCCCTTTTTTCCTGTAATAAACACCAAAGATGAGAGCAGCAACCAATGCCACGGATATGAAGAGAAGCAGAATAATTAAACTGGGCAAGTAAATCAGGGGTTCTGCATTGGAAGAAAATGAGAAAAAGGTGTTAAAGAGTATTTAATTTAATTCTCTGATTATTTTCATTCTTGTTTAAAAATAAAACCCTCTGAATCAAGGCCCAGAATCAAGGATGTTGGTCTGGCATTGGAGAAGGAGGACGGTCCCTGACTGTAGGTGTGCGGAGAGTGCGCTCACCTCCAGAAGGGCGAAACCACACTGCAGCCAGCCCCACACCTGGCGTCACTCTGCGGAGGCCAGTTCACGACCGTCTTTAAAAGTGGCTACTTTAGGGGCGTCTGGGTGACTCAGATGATTAAGCGTCTGCCTTCGGCTCAGGGCACGATCTCGGGGTCCTGGGATGGAGTCCCGCATTAGGCTGCCTGCTCAGCGGGGAGT